TGAAATAAGAGAAAGTGTGGCAGGCCAAAATTCTAAAAGAAATATAATTGCAGGCCTGACAGTATGTTTCTTTCAGTCCAATCTATAAATTAAAACATTATATGATGTTGTTTGTTTGATTACGAAGTGCTTGCTAGTAGTATATTCTATATTCAACTATTTCACTTCACTAGTATTAGTAGGATTTATTTCAAGGAATGTTGTTTATGATGAACATTGGCCTACCCTGAAATTCATTGTGTTCTTTTTATGCCTCTATAAAAACATTTCAGTGTCTACCTTTGTGTGTAAGATATCTTCTTTCTCTCTCTTCATCACTTACTGGTTTATTTAAAAAAATGTTTCTCCTTGGATTTGGTCATAAAAGAATTCCACTCGGAACTTTTAGGGGAAATGATGAGAGCCCATTGGAAGATTTACGGTAGATGTTTCCTCATAAAAGATGCCAGTGTTGTGGAAGTGAAATGGAGATGGATGTTATGTCCCCAGATAATGAGGCTGGGCTGGGAATATGGATGCATTTATATATCTGTTCTAAAGAGAAAGGTAAGATGCTAACTCAGCACAGTCCAGAAATAGGAACTTTCAAATTTTTCCTTTTGGTCCTAAAGAGAGAAAAAAAAATGACATTTAAAAACCAAACATGGCACATAACACTTTAGAATATTAATTTAATGCACTTCTTTCTTTTTTTCCACAGGATCTGATGTATGTAATTGTTTTTGTCTATTAGGTAAATGGCCCAGTAAATAGGTACATGTGAAGAATTTCAACCCACAGAAATAACTATAGTAAAAAGCATTAGTTCACACAAAAATGTTAACCAGTGAATCCTATATTAGATGGGGTCTTCTCCTTGACCAATATTGCACCCCCTTCACCATCCCAAAGGTCCTGTCAGCCTGTCAGCACAGAACAGAAATAACTAGATGAAGCTATGAGATGTTTCACTGCTGCTTGATATCTTTGGAAGATTTCCAGTAGCAGCCAGAAATATTGATCTTTGCTTGCAGAGCAAAATCTGAATGTACT